TCACAGCTTGTAAATGCTTTTTGTAGCCAGCCAAGAGTCTTTCAATTCTTGTTTGAGGTATCTTTGCCCATTCTTCCTTACAAAAGTCTTCCAGTTCTTTGAGATTTCTGGGCTGTCTGTCACGCACTGCTCTTTTAAAGGTCTATCCATAGATTTTCAATTATGTTGAGGTCAGGAGATTGTGAAGGCCATGGCAAAACCTCCAGTTTACGCCTCTTGATGTAATCCCCCGTGGATTTCGAGGTGTGTTTAGGATCATTATCCATTTGTAGAAGCCATCCTCTCTTTAACTTCAGCTTTTTCACAGATGGCATCAAGTTACCATCCAAAATTTGCTGAAATTTTATTGAATCCATTTTTCCTTCTACTCGTGAGATGTTCCCTGTGCCACTGGCTGCAACACAACCCCAAAGCATGATTGATCCAACCCCATGCTTAACAGTTGGACAGAGGTTCTTTTCATTAAATTCTGTGCCCCTTCTTCTCCAAACGTACCTTTGCTCATTCCGGCCAAAAAGTTCACTTTTAACCTCATCGGTCCACAGAACTTGTTTCCAAAATGCATCAGGCTTGTCCATATGTTCATTTGCAAAGTTCAAACGATGATTTTTGTGGTGAGGACATAGAAGAGGTTTTCTTCTGATGACTCTTCCATGAAGACCATATTTGTACAAGTATCTCTTTATAGTGGAATAGTGTACCACAACTCCAGTGTCTGCCAGATCTTTCTGGAGGGATCGTGCAGTCAAACGTGGGTTTTGAATTGTTTTTCTCACAATCCTGCGAGCTGTTCTGTCTGATATTTTTCTTGGTCTTCCAGATCTTGCTTTAACTTCCACTGTTCTTGATGACTGCCATTTCTTAATTACATTCCGAACAGAGGATATTGACATCTGAAAACGCTTTGCTATCTTCTTATAGCCTTCTCCAACTTTGTGAGCGTCAACTATTTTCAGTTTCAGTTTTCTAGACAACTGCTTAGAAGAACCCATGGTGCTGATTGTTGGGGCAAGGTCAGATGAGTCTGGGCATTTAAAACCTTTGAGATTGACATAACCTGGTCTGCCCAGACGATGATTGAGAACAATCCATGACACTGGCAGGTCTCAGCTTTGCAAAGGGGGCAGTGCATGCTATAAATTCTGCAGGGTGCCCAAACTTTTGCAGACGCCATTTTTTTGTTTTCTGTTATTTTGAATGTGTAAATGATGGAAATAAAATCTAACTTTTGTTGACATATTATAAGAATGTCTAATCTGTAATTTGATGCCTTTTGGAGATTTTTCCATCTTTCCTTGGCTTCTTTATGCACATTAATACAAATTTTTAGCTGGGGTGCCCATACTTTCGATCCCCACTGTATGTACAAGTCCACAAAGATTCCCTTCTTGGAGAGTTCTCCAGCCCTCCTGGTGTACCGCCTCAGACCCCAGATGAATTCTCTTCATTGCCCAGCTGCCCATGGGAACCCCTGAGCAAGAGGACCTGGAATCTGTCGCTTTTAAATCAACAGTCCCAGATGGGGGCTAGTCAGGTTTACCACCAGAAGGTTCTGTCCCCTTCTCTGGCCCAGGGGGTGTTGGATTACTCACTCAGTCCTCTCCTGTAAGCTTGTGGGTTGGTGGCTGCCTTCTGGCCTTACCCTGGGCTGGGTCATTCCCTACCTCCCAGGCTGCCCTCTCTCAGGGGACTGTTGAGGATGAGAGATCCTCCCTTCTAGCTCCTGCCTGCAAGTAGGCCCCTCTCCTGGGCCCCCTCCCAGGCTCCACACTCCAGCCTTCACTCCATCTTCTACCCGACACTACTCCTCCTGCTGATCAGGCTCTTCACATATTTAAGAGCTGTCCTGGCCCAATGTCAAACCTCCTTCTTGGGGATTGACCATGATCCCTTATGCAGATCAGCCCCTCCTCAACGCCACCCACTGCCTTTTAGAAGCTTCTAAAGCAGGGGGAGGTATAAGGGAACTGACCTGCAGAGCCCTCAGCCTTCATCCAGAGTGTGCTATTCAGCCTCTGCGTAAAAACGTATCTAGCTCCCCCTAGCTAACTAGTGCTACACCAGGTATGGCAATTTCTACATAGTTACATTGTTCCAGCCTGGACCACTGGAAATATCTATGTGACACACAAATTTACCTCTCCACCCCCCACCTCACCCCCTCACTCTCCGCCCGCATCGCCCACCTCCTGAATATTAAACCTGTCGAAAACCGAGCTCCTGGTCTTCCCCCCAGCCCGCGCCCCCCCCCCACCCTCTCCATCACTACTAGCAACGCCACCATCACTCCCACCCCACATGCCAAAGTCCTGGGTGTCACCCTGGACTCAAACCTTTCCTTCCAACCTCATGTCCAATCACTATCAAGGTCATGCAGGCTCCACCTCCGCAACATCTCCAAGATACGCACATTCCTCACCCCAGACACCACCAAACAACTCGTACACTCCCTCATCATCTCACGCCTGAACTACTGCAACTCCCTTCTCACTGGCCTACCCAAACAAACGCTATCCCCACTCCAGTCTATCCTGAACTCAGCGGCTAGACTCATCCACCTCACCAACCGCTCCACATCTGCCTCCCCCCTCTGCCAATCCCTTCACTGGCTCCCGATTGCCCAGCGCATCAAATTCAAACTGCTAACTCTGACCTACAAAGCCATTCACAACGCCACCCACCCAAACTACATAACTGACCTGATACCCAAATACTACCCTACCCGTGCCCTTCGCTCCTCACAGGACCTCCTACTCTCTAGCTCCCTGGTCTCCACCTCCCATGCCCGATTGCAGGACTTTCCCCCATCCTCTGGAACTCCCTACCCCAATCCATCAGACTGTCACCTACCCTCCTCACCTTCAGGCGCACCCTGAAAACCCATCTCTTCAGGGAAGCCTACCCCACCCTCACCTAACTGCCGATCTCCTCCACTTCTCCCACCACTCCATCCCCCACAGCCACTTCCTCCTGTACCACTTCCCCTCCCTCCTAGATTGTAAGCTCGAAAGAGCAGGGCCCTCGAACCCCTCGTGTATTGTATTGTTACCGTCTTGTCTCATGTTCTGTCCCCCTTGCTACTGTACAGCGCTGAGCAAACCCTTTGGCGCTATATAAATACTGTATAATAATAATAATATGTGCCAGACCTGCGGGATCCCCATGGAAGATGGAAATCACTATAGTAGGCGCTGCTGTTCAGTGATCTCCACTAGTTTCCAAGTTCCATGCTGAGTGGTTGTCACTCTGCAATCTGAACACAGGAGGTCGCTTAACTGGTACGAGCGCATTCAGAAAACACTTTGCATTCTCACAATGATGCAAAGCATTCTCTCATTGGACAAGGTGGAGAGGTGAGGAGGTGGTGTCACAATCTCCCCTATGGGACATAGATGGCAAAAGAAAAAAAGAACTGACCGGGACTATAACCCTCCTTTACACAAAAAGTGGACCTTCAATTAAAAGCGAAAGTAACACTCATCCATCCAACACCCACCCCCAAACCTCTAACAAATGTGCAGTGTTTTTCTTTTTCTTTGTCACAAAAAGATACCCACTCCCACCTCTGCAATTTTTTCCTAGGTGAGAATTACATCAGCTTGGCCCAGCCCCCCCCCTGCTGACAACCTCCTAGAACATGTCAAGCGGTCCAACAGGCTGAGGGACAAGTCATACAGTGCTGTCATGCCCTGGCTCAATGGGGAGCCATCTGGGGGATCAGGAAGTCACAGCCAGCTCCCACATCCAATGTGGCGCGAATGGGGGGTGGGGGGAGAGCAATACCCGAATTTGACAGGTACCCGCTCCCGCTTTCGGTACGATCGCCTAGGCGACTGGAAGTAGAAGGTGTCCTCCTACCCTCCCTCCCTGTAGTCTTGTGGGACACGTGACAGGTCCCAGAAGACTACAGGACCATTCAGGAAGCGCAGCACTACTCTCACATGTGCAGTGGGTACCCGGCTGTGAAGCCACAAGCTATCACAGCCGGGTGCCCACACTGAAGATGCCGGCCTCCTGGAATACAGGACGGCCGGTGAAACAGGCTGCGGGGAACACACCGCGGGACCGAGGGACAGGTGACTGTTTTTGTAGCTGCTGACTCTTATTTTTTTAAAGGGTGAGTGCAACTCCGCTTTAAAGTGTCTTTTTTTTTAAAATCGTGTTTGAAAAATTGCTGTGCAAGTATCATACGACAAAAAAATTACAACATCCACCATTTTATTCTCCAGGGTCAATAATTTAAAAATATGTATGTTTGTGGGTTTTAAGTAATTTTGTAGAAAACAAATGCTGATTTTTACATGCATGTGAGAAGAGTCAGTATAGGTCTAGGTGCAGGGGCGGACTGACCATTTGGAAACTCGGGCGCTACACGAGGGCCCGGGGTCAGTAGGGGACCCCATGAGATGCCCCTGGTACCTTTTTCATAGGCTTTTTTGAGCAAGGACACAGGGGCCCCATAATCCCCTATTGCCCGGGGGCCCCATGAGTTGTCAGTCCGCCCCTGTCTAGGTGGCAAGTACCTGTACGTTGCTGCCTGGTCCTGGGCTTGGAGCGCGCCCCCCTGCCAGCACCCACTGTCATTATACAGAGCAGGAGCCTGTCAGCAAGTCCCAAACATTGATTGAAGTCCGAGACCTGCTGATCAGCTGCGATAGTTAAAACGCACTGAAGGGGTGAAAAATTATTCTTCGGTCACACCAAATCCGACTTTGAAATCGTGCGACTTCACTTGAAATCGCACGATTTCAAAGTCGGATGTCAGTGCGACTTAAGGTGCGACTTTGAAGACATCTGTGCAACTTCATGCACAGATGTCTATGCAAGTCACACCTGAACTTGCAAAAAGTAGTGCATGAAGTACTTTCAAAATCATTGTGACTGAATCTCACCAATATGACCGCTTCCATTGCGGACAGTAGGGTGTGACTTGTAATTTGAAACTATCAAATCGCATGACAAGTTGCACCGGTGTGACCAGATGAATGGCACTGAAATCGCACCGGTGTCTATATCAGCACCAATGGCATCCCGAGGCAGGAGTGGGGGGGTGCGCGCTGCACCTACCACACGGGGTGACACCGGACCCCCTCCATGAAAAGGTAAGTTGTAAAGCAAGCCGACGATCCCCGCAGGATGGATCGGATCTGCGGATTGAGCATAATGGATCAGACTCCGATCCATTATGCTCCCCAATCTGCAGATCCAATCCATCCTGCGGGGATCGTCGGCTTGCTTTACAATTTACCTTTTCGTGGAGCGGGTCCGGTGTCACCCCGTATAGGTTGCATGCCGATGATCGATATAGGTTGCATGCCGATGATCCCCGCAGGATGAATGGGATCTGCGGATTGGGGAGCATAATGGATTGGAGTCCAATCCATTATGCTCAATTCACAGATCAGACCCATTCTGCGGGGATCGTCGGAAGGGGTGTCACCAAGTGTTATTGCACCGGGTGGCACCAACCCTAGGGACGCCCCTGATCAGCACTACTTTGAAGCAGGGGCGGACTGACAACTCATGGGGCCCCCGGGCAATAGGGGATCATGGGGCCCCTGTGTCCTTGCCCAAACTCAAAAAAGCCTATGAAAAAGGTACCAGGGGCATCTCATGGGGCCCCCTACTGACCCTGGGCCCTCGGGCAGTGCCCGAGTTTTTAAATGGTCAGTCCGCCCCTGCTTTGAAGTCACGCTTTAAATGGGACTAAATCGCACCACTTTGAAATCGCATTTGGTGTGATCCAGGACTTAGGCATGATAAAATTTCCTCTTGAAGGTGGCTGTGGTGCCAGGTAAGCGATGGCTGTCTATACATTGTATACATTGTTGATCTCCTGATTGCTCCGATTCCTCTCTTTTGTTTTGAATTCTCAGCTCCTCCAATCAGATCTCTCCTTTCTTGACACTTTGTTTCAATATAACACATACAAGGTTTTGACAGAACTCACGAATCCACCAGTGAAATCACAGAAGCCGTATCACCACGCCCACGAGGCAGACTTTCCACAAATCAGAGGCCTTCCCCACAGCGAGGCTTGGCCCGCACACATGGCGGCTCGCAGAGCATGCTGGGAGGCCCAATGTCCGCTCTGTTGTTTCGGGTGTTCTCAGAGCTGGGCGAGTCGGTACAGCCGGAGCTCGGGGGTGTGAACATGGCAGGCTTCGGGGCTCCGGTGCTGTTGCTGGGCCCCCCGGGCTCCCGGAAGAGCGGCCTGCTGTTTATGGCGGCGGTGCTGGCTGCAGAGGAGGGAGCGGGACCGGTGGTCTTCCTGGCCCGGGAGCCTCTGCAAGAAATGCCCAGAGGAGGGAGGGCGGCCCGGGATCCCCTCATCCTGAAGGTGCACACCGCTTGGGGGGGCGGCCTGGGCTCTGGACATGACTTCCTGTTTATATTTCCATAGCAACGCCTCTCCAGCATGGAGACCTGGATACAGATTGGGGTCACTCATTCCAGTCCGTTAGGCCTCATTTGGTGAACCAGGAACGAACCCCCAAAATACATGTTTCTGGAAACGTGTGAATAACGCTTATCGCGCTTGTGGTGTCATTAATTCCTAATGACACCCCAATGCAGGTAAAACCGCAAAAACAAGCTACTTTGGCACGTCTGTTGCGTGTAGGGCCACCCATTTAGGCCCCAGTCACACCTGCACCTCCCGAAATGTACAAAAACGCATTTTTCCAAAAATGTGCAGCAAACAACATCGAGCTGGCGGTGCCGGTAACTGTATTCCCAACGCAGGTAGCAGGCGTGTTTTTGCTGCACGTAAAAAAACGCGTGAAGCTGGATGCCTGAAACGGTGTGGGGGCTTCTTTTGGAGCGTTTGTCATTGTTACGGCTGCTCTATACAAGGAAACTGCAAAAAATGAAGTGTGCGGGTACGCGCGCTACGCCTAGTGTGACTGGGCAGGCCCATGCTGTCGCAATGATAAATGCGGTAAAATATGCATCGCGTGGCACACGTGTGAATGGGGCCTAAGGCTACAGATTAGCAAATAGCAGCAGCAGGAATCAGACACCTGTTGCGGCTCACAGCGGGTAGGTGCAGCCGCTGGCCCTGTTCACTATAAAGACAGGTTGTCAGTGGCCGTACAGCCAGCTATTAGCTGCCGTAATCCCTGCTGGACGTACTTTGCATCCAGCAGCAATCGGCTGTTCACGGAGACGAGAATAGCTGCAGGCGACCTGTCATTATAATGAAGGGGACCGGCGGCTATACCTACCCACTGAGAGCCACAGCAGGAACTGCCGCTACAATTTTGGTGTTAATCTCCGGTGTGAATGTAGCCTAAGTCCACTGGGTGCGACTTGGCATGCAATTTGCATGCCATGCGACTTGCAAATCCCCAAGTCGCACCCAATTGTCTGAAATTACAGCGGTCCTTTCGGTGCGGTTCTGACTTGGTCGGAGCTGTGACGATTCCTAAAGTAGTGCATGCTTTACTTTTGGTGCGATTTGCATAGACAACTGTGTCAGATGTCTTGCAAATCCCATGCCAAGTCGCACCCGATTGTCAGAAATTACAGCGGTCCTTTCGGTGCGGTTCTGACTTGGTAGGAGCTGCGCCGATTCCTAAAGTAGTGCATGCGTTACTTTTGGTACGATTTGCATAGACAACTGTGTCAGATGTCTTGCAAATCGCACCTCAAATCGACATGACATTCGGCTTTGAAATCGTGCGAGTTCACTGTAAGTTGCACAATTTCAAAGTCGGGATCCGTGTGACTGGGGTGTAAGGGCCCTTTCACGCTGGTGCGTTTTTACCTTCCAAAAAAAGTTTCCTTATAAATCCTATGGGACTGTTCACACCACTGTGCTGCGTTTTGACAAGTCGTCCGTGCTGCATCTTTGGTGCCATTTTGAAAACTGCACCCAAAACGCAGCTCCCCACTGAAATGAATGGAAAATGCACTGCAACTTGCATTTTTGAGTCACTTGTCCATTTTCACAGGTGCAGACAACGAGAAAACGCACTGGAAACCAATCTGAAATGCTGCAAATATGCATTTTTACTGCGATTTTGCTAGAGAAATGTGAAAGTAGCCTTCCTCCAGAGAGTTGTGTGAGGGGTGTGCTCCTGGATAACATGACTTCTATACAGTTTGTTACCCCTCATGGTCCCCACCAAGCTCTAGCCCCCTTCATACTATCCCCTTGTGGGAACACGCATGTTACCACAACACCAGGCACCACATGCTACTTGCAATGCTATAAATTCAGAATGGTTCCACAATGCACCTTGCTAAAAAGTGTTGCACTGTCAAAAATTGTGCAGGTCCAATTTCTGGGCCGCTAAGGTGCAAGACAGCCCGTTCATTTTTTGTTAGGCTGCCTGAGGCCCATACACCATGTTTAGGTGGCTGTTGCTGCATGCAGGCAGCCCATATGGGGACACAGCAGCTCCGACGATATGGGTGATCGCTGTGACTTGACTGGTGTGCACCTTGTCTGCATTCAGGGCTCCTCAAATTAAAGCGGAGCTCCACCCAAACGGGGAAGGTCCGCATTAAGCCCTTATCCCCCGCTCCCCATTAAGGATTGGCACCTTTGGGGAGCGGGTACCCGAACTTGACAGGTACCCACTCCCACTTCTGCTGCGATCGCCTAGGTGATCGGAAGCGGAAGTTGTCCTCCCCCCCCCTCCCCCCCGTAGTCTTCTGGGACCCCTGACATGGGTCCCAGAAGACTACAGGGCCAGTCACAAAGCGCAGCACTTCTCGCACATGCTCAGTGGGCACCCGGCTGTGAAGCCGCAAGCTGTCACAGCCGGGTGCCCACACTGAAGATACCGGCGCCAGGGAGAGAAGACGGCCGGTGAAACCAGTGGCAGTGAGGACTGCTGGACCGAGGGACAGGTAAGTGTCTATGTTTTGATAGTCCGCAGCTACAGGTTTTGTAGCTGCTGAGTTTTTTTTTTGTTTTGTTTTTTTCAGCTGAAACTCCGCTTTAAGATGGAACAGGTGTTTCCATGCATCTTCTACATGCCCAAAGACTTGCACTCTGTGACAGCGTGAGGAAAGTTTAGCCAATAACCGGCAACTGCATTTACCGGTGATCTGCTGTGTCATTGGGCACAGCTGATCACGTGGTAAAAGGCCGCTGTGATTGGCCTTTTAGCACATCTTGAGATCAGCTGTGTCCTTAGGACACAGCGATCACGGAGATCGCCAGGTGCATGCCCCCGGGGGCGCACGGGAGGGTGTGTTCTGGGAGGACGTCATATGACACCCTCCCAGAACTGAACAACCGCGATGTAGCCGCACTGTAGCCGTCATTCAGCTATAGCGCGGTTGGCAAGTGGTTAAGACTTCATTCACATGGGTGTAGTAGAGGAGCCATGTGTTTAAGGCAGAACTACACCTCATCTGAGCATTACAAACCAAAAAGACTATTTCTGTTTAATATTTAAAGCAAACTTACCCATCTATTCATGTCTCCATATTTTATTTTGCTGAGAAATCACATTGAAAAACACCCCCTAGCTTTTCTGGACATGGCCATTTTGAGGATGGGCAGATGATTCATGTAGCATTTACATGCTGGAATCCATCTACCCTCATTTCAGGTATGCAGGCAAGAGGTGTGCGTAGCTGAGAAAGTCCCTCCTGAAGACTCCTGGGATGTATGACATCATTTTCCTAGGCACGGAAACCAGGAAGTAACTGAAGAAATGTAGAAAAAAAAGTTTAAAAGGAGTACATATCTATTTACTAATGCTAGCAGAACAAGGATTGAAAATAATAGTCAATTTTGATTGAGAGAGTGAAGTTCCATTTTTAATTTGCTTGAGCCACCAGGTGCTGCATGGATGCAGCACATTCGAGTCTATGGGGAAACTGGCTGCACAGACACAGCTGCTCATCCCTAGTTTGACAGGTATGCTGGTGTGGGTGGGTGACCCTGAGACCCCATGACCTTTTTTAATAAATTCCACAGATGGCATGTTATATGCGAAGTGTGAACAGGCCCTAAAAGGAATCTGGTGATCCTACCAAGAAGGTCTTGGACAGACAGACACTTCCTGTTGTAGGACACCATACGCAGCCATGCCAACATGGTTGTGCAGGCTTGATCCATCTTCATCAGTGTCGGAAGCCAATTCAGAGCATTGGCATTCAGCTAATGCTGGAGAAAATGCATTATAAAGATTATTAAAATAACTAATTTTGAACGAAAAAAACCCCAAACAATTATATATGATGCTGTCTGAACCTGGGATGGTTTGTGGGTGCTGGACATCAAACGGAAAACACCTCCACTCTGGACAAATGTGTAGGAAGCTCTGCCCTACGTGTTACGTCATAACTTCTTCAAAGGGCAATTGTTTGATGCACACAATATAAATGTCATCCAGTTAGGGGTTTAGATCAGCTCTGCCCTACGTGTTACGTCATATTAACATCTTCAAAGGGGCAATTGTTTGATGCACACAATATAAATGTCATCCAGTTAGGGGTTTAGATCAGCTCTGCCCTACGTGTTACGTCATATTAACTTCTTCAAAGGGGCAATTGTTTAATTCACACAATATAAATGTCAATGTTAGGGGTTTATATCTAATTTACAACAGATGATCAGAAGGGGTTTTGAATAGGAAGAAAGGGAGTCTGTAGTGTAAAAGTATAAGAACTGGCTCTGAAAATATAATGGTCGCTTATTTTAGTTGTATTTTTATGTTGGTTATTAACCATTTTTTTTAAACCCTTCTCTGTCTGTTTTTGCAGCAAATCCGATTTGTGTACCCGCCATCACTGAGGGAGCTGCTTCATTTCTTCTCCTCTCTCCATGTAGCATCTCCATCCCCATCGCTGATCCTGGTTGATGGTCTAGAGAGATATCTAGCGTCCACTGGCAGCCTTACAGATGGAGCTCATATATCTGCTCTCATGCTGGACTCGGTATCCCATCTCCGCTGCGGCCTTATAGTTTCAGCCGTGCCCAACTCTGAAGGGTCAGATGGTGCATTTACTGCTATAGAAAGGTACTTTCCAAACCAGTGTCTGCTCTATCCTGTCACGGCGGCACAGACTGAGGAGAGACAGTTTAGGGTCAGCTTTACTTCTCCACACCTGCAGTGGGATCTATATGTGAAACATGATGGAAGTCTAAGGATCTCCTTTACTGGTTCCCAAGAGGACAAATCATCCAACAGTGAGGCTAAGGACAAAACGTAGCCTGCAGTATTTTCCTTTATTACTAAATGAAATTGCTCTTCAGAACCATTGTATGAATTGAAAGATTTGAGCAAACCTCATTAGTGTTGCCTTCTGCTTCCTAGAAAGTAACAGGCACACGTCTGCATTCCAGTCACTTCCTGAGTGTTAAGTGGGAAGCTCTGCTAGATAAAACAATACGATCGGTTCCATTGTTTTAAGAGAAAATTTGCTAGGAAGAGCAGAGAGAGACAATCACAGGATAAGTCGGTTGTTTCTGTGGATGTTCTGTACAGTGTTGACTTAACAAATTTAATTTTTTGGGGGGAATTAGATGGCTCCACATAGGAATAGGGAGATGCTATGAGTACCCTAAATCTCGCAAGAAGACATTCCATTCTATTGTGTCTTGCAAGATTTGTGCTGCTCTGCATTCCCCAGGATCAGAACCATATAAATGTATAATATTTTTTTTCCTGGTGGGGGTCAGTATTGGGGACGCATAGGAAGAACGTTAGGACAGACCCTACCACCCTCTCCTCCCAGTACAGCTCTCCTAGCTCACTGCAGCTTTCCCCCTTGATAATAACCCCCCAACCTATAACACACCCCAGGCTAGGGCAGTTCAGAATCCAAAGAACAGAGATATACCACTCAGGCAAACAATCCAGATCAGTCCACGACAGGTGAAGGCTCTGGCTCGCCACCACACACGATACAACACAAGGGTCAGCCGCACTCCGGAGGATGGATGAATATAGTGTATATTTATTGATCTATAGGACGCACAGCTGATTAAGCAGAAAATCGTGTGAAACGCGTTGACAGGTCCTGTATTCATGTCCTGGTGTTTTGTGTGTCCTATGGATCAATAAATATACACTATATTCATCTATCCTCAGGTGAGCGGCTGACACTTCTTTCTAGGGCAGTTCAGAGGAAGGAAAGTCCTCCCTTGACTGGATGAAGTGGCTGGAGCAGCCCTCTCCACTTTAAACGGACAGGCTGACTGTCCACTGATCCCCAGGCTGACTGTTCCCTCTTATCTGATCCGCCTAGATGGAGGGTAATGGATCGGATTGGAGGTAGGCGGGTGCAAGACCGTTTACACCCGCCGGTCCATACGGGTGCATGGAGGGTCCAATCAGGTCTGCCTGAAAAACTGACAGGTGGGCCTGATCAGACCCTTCGTGTGAAAGAGGCCTTACAGGTACATTTTTTGCAGTATTATGAGGCAGCAATGTTTACAGTGGGAAGGGTCCTGCACCCAATAAGATGACCTTGTATTTTACCACTTTAATAAATATTTTCGATAGACTATTCTACACGTTACCTATATTTTTTTTATTTATTTATTTATTTTTTTAGGCTATTGCCTAACTCTGCTTAAACCTGCTCCCACCTCCTTCTAAATCCTAGACTAACTACCCTGTGAAAGGAAGATGCTTATACTTACCTATTCTGAGGGCGCTCCATAGGCTTACTGTAGGGCATCTCTTGTCGGTTGTCCCTCCTTTTCCCTGAACCTGTCTGCTAAGAGTCGATCACATGACCAGACCGAAGGGCCCTCAGAAGAGGTAAGTATAAGCATCTTCCTTTCACAGGGTAGTTAGAAAAGGATTTAGAAGGGCGATGGGATCAGGTTTAGGCTTTGTTAGGCAATAGCATGCAATTCCACTTTAAGGCCCCTTGTACACAGGACATTTCTGAACGATGGAAACTGCTGGAAAACGTAGGTTAAAAAAAGTCTGTTTAGCCGCGTTTGTATACCGCGTTTATGTGCGTTTTTCATTTATGTGCGTTTTTGAAAGATAAGCACAGAAGAACCTCCCAAATGCCCAGAATTCACTGAAAAGTGATAAATTATTAACTATTTCAGACTGTTTCAGAGAAATACAGCAGAAGCAGAGACAGCAGTATGTGTTGAGATAATTAGGTGGGAGTTGCTCATTAACATTTCCTTTTTTTCCAAGGGTGGGAAAGGTGTCTGGTGGAGGGAGTCATTAAGGTCATCTAGCAGGGGGTCTTCATGAGGAATAGGCATTAACATATCTTTTGTTTCCAGGGGTGGGAAAGCCTGCGGTGTGAATTGGTCATTACAATGTGTGACAAGCTTGATAGGAACATCCTGTGTTCAGTGTTTTGTCTATCTGAGTACCTTGAAAATGCTTTGCATGCATTTTTCATGATGAAAAAAGGCACTGGACACCATTGGGAACTGGAAGAGTTATAAAAAATTTATAAACGCGATTTGCCGCGTTTACAAGCGTTTTGCGTTTGAAACGCTGATAATATTGACTGCTGAACGCAAGTTTTCTGCATTCAAAGAAACGACTGTAAACTCAAATGACTGTAAACGACTCTGTGTACTTATGGACACATAGGAAAACATTAGGGAGAGTTCAGGAGCTGCTGAAAAAAATGCTGATGAGCTCATAAATGTGAGTTTATCAGCTGCAGTGTACATGAGCCCTAAAGATTAAGGGAAAAATATTCTGCATTGATGTAGTGTAAAATGTTGCACTTTTTTTCTATATTAAACATATTTTGTACTGCTTTATGCCATTTATATCATTATGAAATTCTGAAAAAAAAGTTATTTGCATGGAAGGATTAGAAATGTAAAACTTGTTTAAATGAATTCTATGGTCACAGCATACACTTTAATTTTATCAGCATTATAGTAACAATACAAACAATAGTTGTATTTGACAATTTAATATAAACTTACTAGAAAAGTCTTCTTTCATGTTGTGAGTGCTTCTTGTCTCCCGGCCGTCTCTTTCCACAACTTCCTGAATTCCATGGTTGCTTTGCAGCTTCTCCTCTGTTGTCTAATTTCTAAGGGTTACATGTCTCATGGTACCTTGCTGCCTGCAAGCAGTGATTTTTGTACTTACTCCTGAAACTTCTCCTCTGTATATCAGAAGACGGGCTCTGTGAAATGTGTGACACAGCAGTGCCTACTTACAGGGCATAGGGACTATGTGTTACAGAATTTAAGGAAGTAAATGTGTGAGGATCTTCACCAAGTAAGTTTACAAACTTCAAGATCATTCACATTAATAGTAGGCTAGAAATAATGAAAAATACAATATGGAAATGAAAATTAGTACAGACAGGGCTTGACAAATCGTGTTCCGGCAACTGAGCTCCCGCCAGCCCATCCACCGTTGCCACCAGGTGTGAGCAACTCCTCGAGCAGCCACCCACTGAGCTCCTTTATTGGGCAGCCTCTCTCTCCATTGGCTTGAGCTTACCACCCCCAATCAGGAGGGGAGCTGGGGACAGCAGCTTGTCCGATTGGCTGGCCAGGAAAATGGAGCCGACAATGAGCATCGGCTCTGCCCGAGGGCCAAAAGTGACCTGACTGTGCCCTGTAGGGAGGGCAGCCCAGGGTGAGGCCTAGGAGCTGGCTGAACTCTACAGGTGAGAGGAGACACTCCAGGCACCTGCCTTCCTGTGGTTTCTAATTTCGTCGGGAACCTCCTTCCTCACCTAGGTCTCGGTGATGTCAACAATCTCTAGTGGATGAATAGGCTGTGGTTTAATGAATATGAAGGTCTGTGATGTCACTGGTCTCTAGTGAATGGATAGGCTGTGTTCTCATGAATATGAAGGTCTCGGTGATGTCACCGGTCTCTAGTGAATGGATAGGCTGTGTTCTCATGAATATGAAGGTCTCGGTGATATCACTAGTCTCTAGTGAATGGATAGGCTGTGTTCTCATGAATATGAAGGTCTCAGTGATGTCACTAGTCTCTAGTGAATGGATAGGCTGTGTTCTCATGAATATGAAGGTCTCAGTGATGTCACCGGTCTCTAGTGAATGGATAGGCTGTGTTCTCATGAATATGAAGGTCTCGGTGATGTCACCGGTCTCTAGTGAATGGATAGGCTGTGCTCGCATGAATATGAAGGTCTCGGTGATGTCACCGGTCTCTAGTGAATGGATAGGCTGTGTTCTCATGAATATGAAGGTCTCAATGATGTCACCGGTCTCTAGTGAATGGATAGGCTGTGTTCTCATGAATATGAAGGTCTCGGTGATGTCACCGGTCTCTAGTGAATGGATAGGCTGTGTTCTCATGAATATGAAGGTCTCGGTGATATCACTGGTCTCTAGTGAATGGATAGGCTGTGTTCTCATGAATATGAAGGTCTCGGTGATGTCACCGGTCTCTAGTGAATGGATAGGCTGTGCTCTCATGAATATGAAGGTCTCGGTGATGTCACCGGTCTCTAGTGAATGGATAGGCTGTGTTCTCATGAATATGAAGGTCTCGGTGATGTCACCGGTCTCTAGTGAATGGATAGGCTGTGTTCTCATGAATATGAAGGTCTCGGTGATATCACTAGTCTCTAGTGAATGGATAGGCTGTGTTCTCATGAATATGAAGGTCTCAGTGATGTCACTAGTCTCTAGTGAATGGATAGGCTGTGTTCTCATGAATATGAAGGTCTCAGTGATGTCACCGGTCTCTAGTGAATGGATAGGCTGTGTTCTCATGAATATGAAGGTCTCGGTGATGTCACCGGTCTCTAGTGAATGGATAGGCTGTGTTCTCATGAATATGAAGGTCTCGGTGATGTCACCGGTCTCTAGTGAATGGATAGGCTGTGCTCGCATGAATATGAAGGTCTCGGTGATGTCACCGGTCTCTAGTGAATGGAATGTAGGCTGTGTTCTCATGAATATGAAGGTCTCAATGATGTCACCGGTCTCTAGTGAATGGATAGGCTGTGTTCTCATGAATATGAAGGTCTCGGTGATGTCACCGGTCTCTAGTGAATGGATAGGCTGTGTTCTCATGAATATGAAGGTCTCGGTGATATCACTGGTCTCTAGTGAATGGATAGGCTGTGTTCTCATGAATATGAAGGTCTCGGTGATGTCACCGGTCTCTAGTGAATGGATAGGCTGTGCTCTCATGAATATGAAGGTCTCGGTGATGTCACCGGTCTCTAGTGAATGGATAGGCTGTGTTCTCATGAATATGAAGGTCTCGGTGATATCACTG